TCGTCGCATCGCACGTCGCATCGCACGTCGCATCGCACGTCGCCACCGACCAGCGCCGCGTCGCCGCGGCGGCGAGCTCGCGGAAACTCCAGTCCCGCCGGCGGCGCGCCGCCGCTGCAGTCAAGAAGGTCTTTTCAGGTTCAGCTCTGCGCTGCCGGATGTGACGGCGCTTACTGCGGCAAGAGCTGCGGCTCCAACGCTCTCGACTTTCCCACCTCCCCTTCCGCGTTCCGCTGCCCTTTTTCTTCCGCCTTCCCTTCCGCCTTCCCTTCCCCCTTCCCCTCCGCGGAAGGGTTTGGCGCCGTACCTTTCGCCCACCCTTCCGTCTCCGCGTCTCCTTTCGACCCTAGTAGTACCCAGCCGTCCGATGCCGCCGCGGCATTCAGCGTAAATGCCGGAGAGTCGTTCTCCTGCGGATATTTCATTGACGAGGGAGCCGCGACATGCGATACTGCAGCAGCTGACGTGGCGCTTGAGGATTGGTGCAGCGAAGTAGCGGCGTCAATGGCTCAAACCGGCGCGCCGATGTTGATGGGCCGGAAAAAGCGGCAGTGGCTGATGCAGCAATGGTTCCACGATGCTCCTGATGAGGTCGCTCCGCCCGCATTCCCTGAAGAAGTCAACCGGACAAGCCAAGTCAACCAAGTCTACCGAGTCAACCGAGTCAACGCATTTGAAGCAATCCATGCCGTCAATGACTTGGACGCATCGGGCACAGCCAACACAGTCAATGCAGTCAACACAGTGACTGTCGCAATAACTGTCAGCGACTCTTCTGATTCAGCACCTGCAGACGCCAGCCTCGGCTTCTGAGCCTCGTCGGAGTCAGCTCCGGACTTGGAATCCGAGCCTGCAGCCTCGGATGAGCCCCGACAATCAAACGCCTGTGGACTTACAATCCCAGCAGCAGAGGAGAGGAAGATTCAAGTGGGGGAGGCGAAAGTGGGCAGGGTGTTGAAGTGGCGAGTGGAGGACATTGGGCGAAAGTGGGTTGTGGTGAGGAGGTTGATGGGCAGGGGGGAGTACGGCGTATGCATACATTTCACCGACGGGGGAGGGGGGGACCGCTGCCTGCAGGAGCATCTGAAAGGCCGCCATTCAGGTACGGCGCTCCCTGTCATGTGATCCCCACCACGCCCTTATCATTCCACCCTGATTTCCCCACCCTGATTTCCCCACCCTGATTTCCCCACCCTGATTTCCCCACCCTGATTTCCCCACCCTGATTTCCCCACCTTGATTTCCCCACCCTGATTTCCCCACCCTGATTTCCCCACCCTGATTTCCCCACCCTGATTTCCCCACCTTGATTTCCCCACCCTGATTTCCCCACCCTGATTTCCCCACCCTGATTTCCCCACCCTGATTTCCCCACCCTGATTTCCCCACCCTGATTTCCCCACCCTGATTTCCCCACCCTGATTTCCCCACCCTGATTTCCCCACCCTGATTTCCCCACCCTGATTTCCCCACCCTGATTTCCCCACCCTGATTTCCCCACCCTGATTTCCCCAACCTGATTTCCCCACCCTGATTTCCCCACCCTGATTTCCCCACCCTGATTTCCCCACCCTGATTTCCCCACCCTGATTTCCCCACCCTGATTTTCCCCACCCTGATTTCCCCACCCTGATTTCCCCACCCTGATTTCCCCACCCTGATTTCCCCACCCTGATTTCCCCACCCTGATTTCCCCACTCTGATTTTCCCTCCCTGATTTTCCCACCCTGACCTCCCCACGGTGACCTACCCACCCTGAGCTCCCCACCCTGTTCTCCCCTCCCTGCTTTCCCTGCCTTATATTCCCTCCTGTTGCCTATGATCCTGAACCTACTCCGGTTGCCTCTTGTCCCCATCTTCAGCGCCTGTGTTTTCCTTCCCTTTCCGCCCGGCCTCGTGCCTCTTGCCTTTCCAACGGTGCAGAGCGCTGCTGACGTGGCATTCACAGAGGAACTCAAAAGCCACATCAACATCTTTCGGATCAAGCAAGGACCACAGGGTGAGTTACCCTTGTCCGTTACCTTCAGCCCCATTGCAAATGTACAAGAAATGACTTCTCGTGCTCAAACCTGTTTTGCAGCATGCATGAATGCATGAGTCTTGCTTGCAACTGATTACGCTCTATAATGCAAGCCCTTGCTGTTGCCATTACTAACTGGCTCCCACTCCGCTCCACTCACGCATTACCCTTGCCCTTCTGATGTATTTCCTGTAGACTTTGCTGACTCACTGCACGTGGTGATGGAGCACTGTGATGCAGAAGACCTGCTTGACCGCATTGACTCCCACAGAAGGCTCTCAGACCTCCTGCAGTGCGCATCATTGACGTCACGTGCTTATATCAGACACTGCTTATAGTGAAGACGTTCACAGAGGCATGCTTTGCATGTGTCAATACTTCATGCTTAGTTTCACAAATGTCTCCACATAGTAGATGCAACAACCAACACCTAAGGTATTGTAAAACTTGGTGCATGCAAAACATGTAACATCATAAGTTGCATGTGACTTTGACAGCTACTTTTGGTACTGACTCTAACCCATGGCACTTGTTACTGAATGTTGCGATATGCCGGTTTTTTCGCGTAATCAAGGTTGCCTTGCTGGTATATGTATTGATAACGGGCCTATTGGGAAGTTGAACTCCTGTGTTCCTGTTCTACATGTTCTATATTTTTATAAGAATATGTGAACTAGGGTTTCTTCTCCTTTTGTTTCACTATGTGGGCATGGTAGTTCTAGAAGCACAGCCCGTAGTGACTCTACAGAGGGGATTGAACGAATGTGCTTGATTTATGAAATGCCCGAGATCCTGGAAGTCCATCCACTGAAGTTACGACACGATGCCAATATTGGAACAGCCTGACTCTGCAACTTCTCAAAGGACAAGTCCGTGCCTGTGCTGCCCGCCGAAGTCCACGGTTCTCGGAAAAAGCATCGGCGCTTTGGTTTGGCTAACCGATGGTGGGCACGTCAGCGTTGATTGCAAGACACTCCCATTTGGCTTGGCATACGCGCTTTGCGGGTTGACGAGATTCAGCACCCGAACCGCGCACTCATCGCTCGCTTTGCCCGTCGGAGTTTCGATGGAAGCTTCGACGCCATCAGAAATAACCAGCGCAACTTCAGCCGCAGGTTGAGTACGCGTGGCAAATTGTTCCGCTCAATGCCAAACACGAGGTCGGGCTTCGCGCTCTCATGTGCTCCTCGTAGGGCGACAGACGTGTTTTATACGTTTTAAGTACGTCTCGTCACGCAAAAGGTAAATTGTCTGTCTCAGAAAAACTTCTGCTCATCTGGTACACCTGTCTCGAAGAAGCCAGTGAACACGTCCCAAACAAACTCACCGTCGTGCTTTTAGGACGTGGGCACTCGCTAAGATTTCGGCGATCAATCGTGCGAAATCGATCTGCCACCGCACAGAAAACCTGCTAAAAACACCTTTACCTTTTAAAACCCCGTCAATAACGAACCTGCGGCAGCGTCGATCACCGAAATCCATGCGAGTGTCCACGTCCTACCCCCTTCCTCTTCCTCCCCAGACCTGCTCAAACCGTTCCCCTTGGTTTCTGTTCCCAAGCCATCCCTTCGGACGGCATGTGGTGCTGGTTGGGATCTGTCTTTCTGCACCACATTGGAACATGCAGGGACGTTTTGGTATCTCTATAAACCTTTTACAACCTTTACACAGGATCTCTCTAAACGAACACAGCAGCTCTTGTATCTCTCTCCAACGCACAACTCGCTCTAATCACCTCCCCAACTCCCTGCAGCAGCAGGTCTAATCGCCATTGCTCTCTTTCCAATCTGCGAGCAGCATTGCAGGCGAGTTGCGTCCTCGAATAACCTCCTAGCATTTCTCATATACACGCGTGGAGTGTACATTTTTCCATGGCGTTCTTGGCAGATACCGATCCGAGCCCGTGGATTGGAGAATCTCGGCTTTATTCCTCTTACCCCCTTCGTCCACGTCGGCATTGACGACGCGTAGTCAGCATCTAGTCACGCACAGTGCCGTGATCGAATCCCTTTAGCAGTGCACAAGCGCTGCACCAAGGCTTGCTACCTCGCTGCGCTGGCGCGAAGTGCCGCCCGTAACCACACCGGGTGCCAAATCCACCATGCCACGCTTGCCTTGCCCATATCCGCAGCGCTCACATTTCTTAGGGTACACGTTATGCTCAATAAGTTCGCCACTCACAGAGCCGATCCGCGCGACGATTTGCTCGACCCGAGAGGGTATGGAAAGGCCCCGCGACTGTACACCGGCTGCGTGTCTTGGTGCTGCTGACTAGGCGCGTCGATGCAGCTCGCCAATATTGGGGAAATCTACATTGTCCACGTGGAAGCCGTTATGTATCCACTTGTCCAGCTCAGCAGCCGGAAGTGGTGGGGTGAAGGCAGCGAAACGCGGCCTGGCTCAGTCATTCTGACATCTTCCGAACTACAGAACTTAATGGGTGTGAAAATCATCAGAAAGAGGTGTACAGTAGTGGAGGAACCGTGGAAGGCTTGTGGCAGAAGACTTATCAAAGTCCACGTGATCGATCACATCGACGTGTCTTGTCGTCTCCTCTCACGACACGAGTGGGTGTGGCCCACGGCTCATCATGCGATGAGATGAGACGCGCGCCGCGGCAGCTCTCCGCTCCGCCGATGATCGCTGCGAGCCGTTCCGCCGTAGCCGCAGCTGCGCGCACGATCTATGCGCGAGTGTCTAGCATACCCCGTGCGCCTTGCGCCCCTTGAGCGCCTCCAATCAATCCCCCCCTCTGATCCCCTCTGTTTCTAGCTGCGGCACGATCAGCTCAGCTGCGACTATGAATACCCTCAGTGAATGCGAGATTCATATCGGCACCACATCCTCTTACGAATTCGCCCTCTTTAGCAGCCCCGATCATACCGGCGAGATTTTGGCAACGACTTCAGGAGAACTCCTTTCGTATCTCTCTCGACAACTTCGACTCAACGGTCTGATCTGAATCCGATTCTTGCCCAGCATGCATTCGAGAAGGCCCTTCGAGCGTCAGCGCGACGGCGGGAATAGCGGCGATAATGGCGGCGCTTATGGCGTCTCTACGAATGTCGTCATGAGCTGTAACTGCAGCCCCGCGATCACCCTCGACTTCCCCGCCTCCCCTTCCGCCTTTCCCTCCGCCTCCCCTTCCGCCTTTGCTTCCGTCTCCGCTGCGTGGTCGCACGTGTCCCAGATTCCTCCTCTTGACTCGACTCTATGGCCGTCCGATGCCGCGCGGTTCGACACAAACGGCGGAGAATCATTCCCCGCGTTTCACTGCGGATATCCCGCTCAAGGAGGAGCTGTTAAAGGTACCGCGGCAGCCGACGTGGCGCTCGGGGATTGGTTGAAAAAGGCAGCGGCATCAGCGGCGGGTGAAACGGCACCAATGGCGGTGGGGCGGAAGCAGCGGCAGCAGCTGCTGCAGCAATGGTTCCACGATGCTCCTCCTGGCCTCCTCCCCCCCGCCTTCCCTGAATTCAACCGAGTCAACCGACACAGCCAAGTCAACCGATCCAGCCAAGTCAACACCGAATTCAACGCAGTCGGTGCTTTCAATGCGTTCAACGCATCAAGAAGAGTCAACACGGACAACATGGACAACACAATACACGCTGTCAACGAAATCAATGCGGTCAAACCAGTCAGTGTGGCCACTGGCAGTGACTGCTCTGTATCCGAACCTGCTGACGCCAGCCTCAGATTCCGAGCCTCGGAGTCAGCTCTGGAAGTGGAATCCGAGCCTGCAGCCTCGGTTGAGCCTCTGGAAGTCAATGCATGTGGACTCGCAATTCCAGCACCAGAGGAGAGGGAGGTGCAAGTGGGGGAGGTGGAGATGGGGGTGGTGTTGGGGCGACCAGTGGAGGACATTCGGCAGCAGTGGCTTCTGCTCAAGAAGGAGATAGGCAGGGGGCAGTACGGTGTGATACGGCGATGCGTGCACCGCAGCACCGGGGAGGTCGCTGCCTGCAAGAGCATCCGGAAATCCGCATTCCAGGTGTGTTCCTCTTTCTAAACCCTAAAACCTTTCTATTGTTTCTTACACTTTGCTTGTGTTCTCTCCCTGCCTGTTCTCCATGTCGCCAGGCCTCATCGCCTCTTGTCCTCAGCATCAGCTTCTGTGTTCCGACCTGCCTTGTGCCTCGTTTATAATGTGCAGAGCGCTGCTGACGTGGAGGCAGTGCGGAATGAGGTGGCATTCATGGAGGAACTCAAGGGTCATGCCAGCATCATTCGGATCAAGCAGGCCGTGGAGACGCACAGGGTAAGTTACCCTTGTCCGTTACCTTCTGCCCCTCTCTAAAAATATATGGCAAATAACTCCCAAACCCCAGAACCCCATGTTGCTATGCTAGATACTTCCTCTAAGTGTGTTCCCTGTGGTTGTTACCGACTGTCTCTTACAACTGGACAAGGTTGCTCAAATTTCTTTCCCCTTGCCTCTTCCCCCCCTCCCCCCTCCCCCATTCCCCCCCCCCCCCCCCCAGCACGTGCACGTGGTGATGGAGCTCTGTGAGGGGGGAGACCTGTTTGACCGCATTGACTCGCACGGAAGGCTCTCGGAACCTTCTGCAGCGCGCATCTTCCGATCGCTCATGCTGGCCTTGCAGCACTGCCACTCGCACGGCATCGTGCACCGCGACGTCAAACCTGAAAACATCCTACTATCGAATCCTGCTAATAACGAGGATATCAAAGGAGCTGCTATTGAAGGAGCTGATATCAAAATAAAGCTGATTGATTTTGGTTTGGCCGTGAGGTTCACTCCGGGTGTGGCTCTATCCGGGGAGGTGGGCACAGCAAACTACATGGCTCCAGAGGTGTTTTCCGCGTCGTACGGTGCTGAGTGCGATGTATGGAGCGCTGGCATCGTGCTCTTTATGATGCTCTGCGGCACGTTCCCCTTCTACGGCAACAGCACCGCGAGCAACAGCAACAGCAGTGGTAGCAGCAGTATGAAATACGGAGGCAACAGCAGCAACAGCAGCAGCTGCATCAGTAGCAAAAGCAGTTGTAGCAGCAGCAGCAGTGATGGTGGTGGTGGTGTGTGGCAGAAGGTATTGGAGGCCAAGTGGGGTGGGTTCAGCCGCAGCCGGAGGTGGCTGGAGCTGTCGTCACCAGCCAAACATCTCATCATTCGCATGCTCTCTGCTGATCCCACCACCCGAATCACTGTCAATGAGATTCTTGGTGAGTTGCAGTCTCAGTTTTCGGTCCCTTGGTGCAACATTCTTGAGATTACTTTTGGAAGTGAATGTGTTCTTGTTGTGGGCCTTCGTACGGTATGTTTGCAGAGCACGAATGGGTCACCGCCTGCACAAGAGTCTACTGAATGTATATTACCTTATAGGGTTTGTATTACTTCGAGAGGGCTAACATTACACTGGTGTAAACACATTTGCATGAGATTATATGCATATGTTGATTATGATCAACAATGTTTCAGATTGATCCTTTTTGTTCTTGCTGTAAATAGTAAGCGTTTTTATTATTTATAAACGGTATTCTGTTGTTGAATGCACCCTAACGGGTAGGAATGGCAACTCAGCCACCCAACGGTTTCTGGGTACACCTTGTTTTCCGCTACACTGAACTGCGCAAGAACGCTACTGTTTCTTCGAAGTATTCGGAAATTTTCCACTACCGAAACCAGTCAAACACCCCTTGAAGGCGAGTGCTGTGAGGGAGGGATCTCAGAATGCACTTTCCCTAAATAACCTAACCAGCCATTCCAAAATGCCCCGGGACCTTTTGCAAACGCAACCCATCACACTGGATCGCGCTGGTTCAAAATTCACCAAAACGCAGGTGATAGCGCGCTTCTGTACGGGGTGAGTTTCTCGTAACAGGGAATTCAGTATACCAGAATTCACTATGGCGAGAAACAGGGTGTACATCCCGAGCTCTGGTCAGAACCTCTGGTCCCGAAATGATGCCTATTTCTCACGAATTGTGGAATCGTAAGGTTGGCTACAGAGAGGTTTGACCAGAGGTCAGAGCACAGCCCAGAATCAAACCTCAAATTCCCAAAGCCGCCCCACATTCCCACCCACCCCAGCCCCCCCACTCCTCTCCCGGGGAAAAAAAATTCGGGGAAGCTGAAACTACCTCGAAAAGGGTCTGTGTCCCTGTGATAAGCCGTAACCTCGAAAACCGTTTTCCATCGTGTGGAAATGTCCTGAACCACGAAGCATTCACCGTAAGCTTTCGATCATCACCCGCCGCGAGGAAGAGAGCAAGCATCCAGCCAGTACTGCACAGTAGTTTCCCTTCCAGGCAAGCAACAAACCAACAGCGTTGCGGGCAAGCTCCAATATACGGCTATAACCGCGCCCAGCCTGGCGTGTTCAAGAAAAGATAAACCTACGCAGAGGCTGTTGTCACCCGTTCCGACCAGGCCTGTCGAAGTTCCTGGGGCTCGTACTTGTGCGGGAGAAGATCATATTGGGGCCGAACATTAGCAGGGAAGTGTCCAAATTAGGGCCGGATTGCCGAACCTGAATTTATGGAGTTAACAACCGACTTTCCCATGCTCGCGTATGTAATTTCACTTGTCAGAGATCCTCACCGCCCCGCGCGTCGTAACTGACGGAGAGTAATATTTTCGATTTATGACGAAACAACTCAGTATTTTCTGTCAGAATGAGGAATGGATGGTGCATTGATGTTGGTTGGGGTACATATAGCTAACCCTAAGTTTTGTACCCCCTAAGACAAACCTCACTATAGGCTACAACATTTGACACACCCCCATAGCCTAAGTGAGGGGTGTCTAGCAGAACCAAACGAGTACGGTCACAAGACCAGTCCAAGAAACGAAGCTCAGGGTGGATCACAACGTCACCACACAGTCTGAGCACAAACAACAGTGGCCACAAGGCCAGTCCAAGAAGTAACAGAGGTATATAGAAAGCAAAGTAAACAGTACACTCAAGCCTAAGCAACACGAGAACCAGTGTCAACAAGGCCTAACTGCACACAGCACCTCTGGTGGTCACAAGGCAGAAGCGCCTTGGTGAAGATGTCTGCAGTGTTGGCCTCGGACTCCACAAACTCAAAGCGAGCCTGTCCACGCCTCTGCAACTCTCGCAGAAGAAAGTACCTGACGTGAATGTGCTTCACTCTGCTCTCCAGTCGTGGCTCTCGACAAAGGAGAATAGACGCCTTGTTGTCAGTGAACAAGGTCGGTGCAGAGCTCGGCCGCTCACCAAGGTCGGTGAGCAAGAAGGTCAACCAACGCAGCTCCTGTGCCGCCATGGCACCAGCGTAGATCTCAGCCTCAGCTGTAGAGGTCGAGACCGAAGAGGAGCGCGTGGACCGCCAGGAAACAGCTCCAGAACCCAGGCTGAAACAGTACCCCTGAGTAGACCTGTGAGTCTCAGCGTCGTCAGCGTAAGAGGAGTCACAGTGACCAGTAAGTACGACAGACTGCTGCCCTCCAAGAACTAGCCCCACGCCTGACGTCGTCGCTAGGTACTTCGCCACCCTCACAACTGCTGTCCAGTGAACAGGACGGTGTCTCCCTGGCGCAACAAAGCGCGCAAGAACGCTGAGAGGGAAGGCGAGGTCCGGGCGAGTACAAGTCATCAGGTACATGAGGCAACCCACAAGCTCTGCGTAGGGACCACTAGGCTCGAACGGCTCGTCAGGAAAGGGTCCAGTGAGTCTGTGGTCAACAGCAAGAGGTGTGCGCTGTACTGTGGAGTGCTGAAGCCCGAACCGCTGAAGGACCTGCTGCACCATGTGCGACTGTGAAAGTGTAATGGTGCGAGCAGCTCTGTCCCTGGTGATCTGCAGGCCAAGGTAGTGGCGCAGCTCACCAAGATCAGTGCAGGTGTGTCTCTTCTGCAGTTCGGACTTCACGTGTGCCAAAGCAACCCTGTCAGGGGTGGCGAAAACAAGGTCGTCAACGTAGACCAGAACAAAGAAAGGTGTGGGGCCACGACGAACGAACAGCGACGGGTCAGCAGAAGACGGCTGGAACCCAAGGTCAGACAGGGTAGAACGCAGGGTGTCGTGCCACTCACGAGGAGCCTGACGAAGACCGTAAACCGGTCGCCTCAGCCTCCACTGGGTCCCAAGAGGGAAAGAGCCAGTGAAGGCAGAGGGACGACGCAACCAGACCTCCTCGTGAAGACTGCCCTGAAGGAAAGCAGTAGAGAAGTCGAGAGAGTGTAACTCGTAGTCTCTCTGTGCTGCTACGTGTAGTAACACCCGAAGAGTGGTCATCTTCGGGGTGGGCGCGAAGGTCTGAAAGAAGTCAACTCCCTCGCGCTGACTGAAACCTCTAGCCACGTAGCGCGCCTTGAAGACCGGAGGAGATCCCGGTGGCCGCTTCACCCTGTAGATCCACATGCCGTCGACTACGTTCGCCCCCGGAGGGGGAACCTCATCGACGTAGGTGCCTGTGGATCTGTAGGAGGCCATCTCTGCGTCCATGGCAGCTCTCCACTGAGAGGCCCAAGGCCCTGACACTGCCTCAGCGTAAGTGCGAGGAGTCGGAATGTCAAGGGCGTCGGGGTCACCCTCAGGGGCGAGGAGCATGGCACAGAGATGAGGGGAAGCGGCCGCCAGGAACTCTAGCTCAAACTGCCTGTCCTCTAGGGCGTCACAGCCAAGGGCAGACACACCCCCGACGGCCAGAGGACTGGAAGGAGGAGCTGCCACAAGAGCGGTGGCGAAGTCAAGGCGGCGGGTAGAGGCAAACTCAGTGACTGCGGCAGTAAGAGCGGACACAGAGGACACAGAGGCACGAGGGTGGGTAACAAGAGAGGCGAGAACATGAGAGAGAACAGGACGGTACGTGCGGTAGTAGTCAGTGACAGGAGAAGGAAGCGACACAGTGAGGGCCGACTCAGGAGGAGACGGAAGCACAGACGGAGACGGACGAGGTGGACGAGAACAAAGGAAGGCTGTACGAAGGTCAGTGAAGGGAACAGGAGACGAGGGACGAGCACGAGGGGAGCGACGAGAGGCCCAAGTCTGAGAAGGAGGAGGAGACAACGAAGACTGAGAACGAGGGAAAACAGCGGGAGAGGGGTCAGGAGGAGGAAGCGGAGGACCAGAGACGGGAGGAGAGGGGGAGGAGGAAGGAGAGGGAGACGGGAGACCAAGGGTCCGAAGACCCGAGACAGGAGGAGGAGACGGCAGCAGCTGCTGCTGCTGCTGCTGCTGCTGCTGCCGCGGCTGCTGTGGCTGCTGCTGCTCCAGCGGCTGCTGCCTCTGCTGCTGCTCCTGCTGCTGCTCCTGCTGCTGTCGCTCCTGCTCCTCGAGCCGCTGCAACTCTCTCTCCTCTCTCTCCAACTCCAGCTGCTCCTCACGAGCACGGCGAACACGAGCCTGGAACCTGGTCGGGTAGGGGTGGGGGGAAGGAGTAGTGTCCGGGGCAGCGGCAGCCCCAGAGTCGACCTCCGAAGCACCAAGCACACCACCCCCAGAGGCAGCACCAACACCAGCTCCAGACCCAGGCTCTCCAGAAACCGAAGGGACACCCTCACCCCCAGACGCAGCACCCCCAGACTCCGCACCAGCACCCCCAGACTCCGCACGACCAGTACCAGCCCCCGGAAGACAAGAGTCCTCTGCAACCCGCGGCTCAGCTCCAACTCCAGCACCCCCAGAACCAGAGACCTGTACAGGGACAGTCGCAGGACCAACCTCCCGAGAGGGAGCACCTGCAGGAGGCGGCGAGGAAGACTGTGGGGAGGGAGGCTGTACAGGGGGGGCTACCGAAGGGGGAGGGCTAGCCTGAGACACACCAGACGGGGCTGGACCAGGGGGGGGAGGCTGTACCGGGGGAGCAGGCGGGGGAGCGGCTGTCAGGAAGAGGGGGGGAGGAGGAACCGGGAGACCTCGACTGGGGTACCTGACGTAGTACGGGGTGGACTCCTCGAAACGGACGTCACGGGAGTCAAAGAACCGGTGAGAGGGAGGGTGGTAAAAGGTGAAGTCAGAGGAGTCCTCAGGGAAACCAAGGAAGACACAAGGAACGGCGCGAGGCGAGAGCTTGTCCGCGGAGGTGTCGCGGACAAGAGCCAAGCACCCCCAGACACGAAACCTCGACGCGACACCAGGGGACCCTGTCCAAAGACTGGTCGGTGAAGCCTCCGGCCGAGAGACGCGTGGCCAGAGGTTCAGCTGGTGCGCGGCGTACCTGACTGCGTATGGCCACAGGAAATGGGGGGCACGGGCGTGAGTCAAGGAGGTGCGGGCAATCTCCATGACCAGGCCTATGCGACGCTCAGCAACCCCATTCTGCTGTGGGGACTCCGGAAGCGTCCAGGACTGACGAATGCCCTGTTCGCGACAGAATCCAGCGAGAATGCCGGAGCG